TAGTGTACTTAATTCTCTTTTTTTTTATGCTACAACGCAACTTATTGTCTATAAGCATATAACAGCTACTACTTTTATTTATAATGCCCTTACAGGACATTTTGTTAACACATTAAACACAAAAGTTATTAAAGCGTAAGTTTATGTTAGTAGAGGTTAATTAATCTTTCTTAAGAGAAACTATAGCTAGATTGTAACAAAGTAGGCTGTAAAGGTCTATTTTAAAGTTGTTAAGTAAAGTTAAGCATAAAGGAAGAAGCTAAGAGTAGATTAGGCAACAGGCAGGCGCAAGCAGGGTAAGATAGGACTATTAAAGCTTGTTAGCACCCCTTTGCGCTAGATTACGCTAGAGTGGCTTAGAATGTACTTACCTTAAAAAGTTTAAAATCTTCTAAATTCTAAGCTGTAAAGAGGGTAGTGTAAGGACGGAGCTCTGTACCACTACGCTAATACAACTAAAAAGGTGCGAATAATCAACTAACGTTAATTATTGCGTACAGAATAGTATATATACCCGTCGTACGTAAGCACCATCTCGGCCTTACACGTAAGCGCCATCTTGGCCTTACATTATCCCCCTTCTTAGCAGACGCATGTCCCAGGCGTCACATGACCTACCCGCAGCTCAGAGGCGCCTATGCGCATGTCTCGGTTACCGGCCAGAGGCTGACCACCTGCGGCCTAGAGGCGCGGGATAAACACGACGCAACGCTTAGTGGCCTACGCTAGCTAAGCTATATACACTAGACCTCCTAGCAGCGACAACGTGGCGCTAGAAGAGGCCGCTTTACGTTTTAGTCTAAAAACTAGCTAAGCTGTCTAAGGTGTGGGTTAAACGCGCAACTGTCCTTGTTGTTAGTTAATTATTATGTAAGGACAGAGCTCTGTACCACTACGCTAATACAACTAAAAAGGTGCAAATAATTAACCAACATTAATTATTGCGTACAGAATAGTATATATACCTGTCGTACGTAAGCACCATCTCGGCCTTACACGTAAGCGCCATCCCGGCCTTACAGGTAGAAGTGTAAAGGAAATAGATTTCTAGAACAGTTAGACTCTATATATACTGTCCTAACTGCTACTCTATTAGCGTAAGATATACTGCTATTTTACCTTTACTTTTACTCTGTACTTTTACTTTACCTTTACCTAATAACTCTAGGTTATTTTTAAATAAACTTGCATAGAATTAACTAAAATAAGTAGAAGCAAGTTTTTAGGGCATTACATAACACTTTTTTATACTACTTAGGCCTATTGTTATCTGTTCTATCCTCTAAGTTATAGGACTACTATAAGGGGGGATAATGTAAGGCCGGATGTCCTAGAACGGGCCAGTATGGCCTCACCTGACCTGTTTGGAGGTCGTATGACCTGTGCTTCGTATATAAGCATGAATCCTGACAAGCGAAGCTTGGCAGCGATTCGTCTCTCTTACAATACACTCCTATCTTTCTCCGAAAGCTTGCTCTCAGTGCTATCTGTGCTACTTACCATCCCATCTTTACATTAGCTATAGTATAATTTTTTTATTTTTTAGCACTTATATAAGCTTTTTTTTAAATGTGTAGCTAAGTGCTAAAAAGTCTTATAGTGTCTATTTTTTTAAAATCCTTTATATATAAACTTAAAAAAGTAGCGCCTTTCTAAGTTATTATATATAGATTAGTAATTATATAACTTATATATAATTAAGTCTATAGGCTTATTAGAGCTTTTAACATGTTAATCTTATTATTCTAGTACTCTAGGCTAGTCTTATTTTATAGTGTTACTTCTAATATCTCTATGTTCTTTATAAGTTGTTTATTAGCGGAGCTTGCTCTGCTTCTTTCTGTGGACTTTAGTTTTCTTTAGTTAGGGCTTAGCAGCTAAGAATTACTGCTTTTAGCCTTTTTAGGCTTATGTAAGCATAAAAACAGCAGATCCTTAGATAATTATTTTCTGCGCAAAAACTAAAACCTTGCTGCATGTGTTGTCTAATACCTGTCTAATACCTCTTGCTATAACCTACAACATAGTACCTTTGCTATTTAACACTAATAAACCTCCCCTACTTTGTAATAATTATTATTACCCTATAAATTTACAGAGAGACAGAACGTTCCTTTAATAAAAGGTTTAATGTGCGCCCTGCAATACATAAATCTAGGCAAGAAAGCGCTCTACCTAGGGCAGCCTTATACCTCTACTGCTAGCTAAGAGGCGCGCTCTTACTAATATTACATATGTTGCAAATAACAGACTACAACCCTATATCCTGCTGTTGTCTCCTTTAGTACCCCTATGTTGTTATTATTTTACGCTATTAGACTAGGCAAATAACATGTTTAAAAGAAATAGTAAGTAGAAGACTTTATGTTAAAAGTGTTACTAATTAAAAAGTAAAGTTAATGTTTATACTATAAATAAAAAACTAGCACATGTATTACTTCTTATAAACTTTAGCCTATTAAGCTCTCTTCTTTACAACATTTTTATATAATAGACGCCTTAATAATCTTCTTAATATAAAATCTTTAGCCTATTAAGCAACTTTTTTAATATACTACTTATGCTATTTACTCTAATTAGTTTAAGTATGTAATGTACTTAGAAGCTACTGTTAACATAGAGAAGGTTTTAGTTTACACCTTTTTAGTTATAAAAAGTAGGTATAAATAAAAACAACCTTAGTAATAGTTTAGATAAGGACATTAATGTAGATATCTTTTTAAATGCTAAGCACTGTGTGTATAATTTTCTATCTACGCCTGTACTTATAAATTTTAATAATATTAAATTTTTTAAAAACTAGGCTATACTAGAAGTTAATAAGGGCTATATTAATAACTTTTATAAGGGTCTATTTAATATTAAGTTAGATACATGCACTACCTGCAATTAAAAGTAGTTTAACATAGGATTAAATTAATAAAGTACTTGTAAGAAGTGCGCTACTAATTTACTTAAACATAAACATAAAAAGAAATTTGTTTTACTTTAAAAAAACATAAATAACTTTAATTTTAGCCTTTTACTAAACCTTTTTAAGTTAACTACTACTAAAGAGCAACTACTAGCATGTGTACATGTTAATATAATAAACCTCTCTGCTAAAGTAAGTAAGCACTTTATGCATTATAAATAACTACTAAGTTCTTTATTATAACTTTAATAGAATGTAAGTGCTAATGTATTAGTATTAGATAAGGTATTAGACTTATTAATTTATAAGCACTTAGCTAGCTGCTATCTATAGTAAGCGCATTACTATCTAGGCTTAAGATGTGCAGCTTGTTATTTGCATTGCTTAGGATTTTAGCTAGTACTTTAACTTTGCTAATAAGTACTTGTGTAGACAGACTTACTAAAAGGTGTTCTTTTGCATAGCATTTATAGGTATATAGGTCTTTATGTAGAATTTATAGGAATATAGTTTATAGGTTTTAGTTTGTAGACTACCTTTTATTATCTGCTCTACTTATAGTCTTCTTCTATAGGCTTCTTCTAATGCAGTCTTCTTCTCTAGAAAGAGTTTAATAAGTGACTTAAAACAAGCTCCGCTTATGCATTTATTTATAAACTGTTATAGTATGTTATAATAGGAATTATTTCTTATTCTTTCTATTATTATGTAGAGTTGTTAGTTGCTAGTAAGATTTTATTATAATAGTATAGTTAATTACTTTTTTAGTAGATTGCGCAGGTACTGCTGTTGTCTAGCTGCTAGGTTGTGCAGCTTTAATAGCTTTAGTGTGCGCCTTACACTATCTCCTTTTTACTTTGTATAGTAGCAGAGCTTGCTGTACAATGCAAAGGATTAATCTGCTATTCTAAGGGATAGGTAACTAAACAAAGTACCTTATAAGGCGTAAGTGCTCTGTTGTTACTCTTCTTAGGGGATAAGTAACAAAACAAAGTACCTTACAAAGCGTAGGTACTTTATTATTACTTTTACTAATTTATAGTTAATTAAATTAACTACTAATTAGTGTTAAATAGGCTCTAATAGCTAGCTGCTTATAGTATAAGCACTTAAGTAGTAAAAGTAAGAGTGGTGTATAGTGTGCACAGCGTACAAGGTAGGTAAGGTAAGGGCAACATGTTTCTAGTTCTATTGCTCTTGTCTTTCCTCTGTACAGAGGAAAAGGGGGATATCTAGATGTTCGCGCACGGAGGTTCGCGCACGAGCATCATGTGACATAGATACGTGGTCCTGCTTGTGCGCGATCGCTCGTATCCAGATCGTGACGCTGCTGCTGCGTACGGACAGGTAGCAAATTTGTTCGAGCATGGAAATGTATGATTTGGCTGAGAGGTTTTCAAGATGTGAAGGGGAGAAAAATGCTCTGTTATATGGTGGAGTATGGGTGTGAAAGCTTCTTCAATCTCTCTGGCGACTTAATGTTGATATCAGAAGCATCTTGGAGTAGTACTAACGTCCATCCACCCGTAACGGAACAACCGCCATAACGGAACAAACCATAGGTACTTCGACTTTGAAGCCATAGAACTTCTCCACACGTCTTAACTTTTTCCATCAACACCTTAGTTTATACGCTAAGGCTATTTCTGCAGCGTATAACAGGGCTTGCAGAACAATTACGCTTGCGTTGATGCCGTTCTACCTAATTTACGAAGGTTCGTCGTGATAGCGAAAATGAGCACTAGTGCCTACCGAGCCACCACCACGCATCTACCATTGTCTCATCCCATCTGGCGCACATATCTTGGCCTAAGAGTCGCATAGCATCGCGAAGGAGTGATAATCAGTCCTACGGCTGCGAGCGGCAATCATTTGATGTGGGGTGCCCATCCCTGTCGGTACCTCGAATAAAAATTGACCAATCAGAGCGATCACCGGTTATCGCCGACACCTTGTTGGATACACTGGTTTTTAATTAGCTAATACGTGGCTGTGCAAGCTTGTGGCTGCATCCTTTGCGCCCAACAGCCCTGCTTGGCTGCGTTAACGCTGTAACCTTCTTAGCCTTACTGCACGCAAAGATGAACGATAACATCTCTAACACTCACGGAATGGTCTCGCCGCCTTGCGAACCTCCGCAGGAGCTTCTACTGAACCACAACGTCCGCTGCGGGCTCTGACCGCGCGCCGCATTATGGATGGACTTTCGGGAGCAGCAAGCGTAATAGCCGTCATCGACATATCAGCCAAGGTCGCATCGCTCTGCTTCCGGTACTCAGTCGCCGTCAGAGACGCAAAGGGGGACATCGGACGCCTCCAACAAAAGGTGACCGATATTAAGAATACCCTTGAGAAGCTCCAACAGCTTTTAGATCAGCAGGACAAGTCGCAGCTCTCTACTACACGCGAGATGGTAGACTCTTTAAGAGAATGCCATCGGCAGTTGCAAGAGCTCAAGGCGCAACTCGAGCCCGGCCGAGGCCGTAAAACGATGCAGCGAGTTGGCTTCCGAGCCCTAAAATGGCCCTTTACCAGCAAGCAGGTAGAGAGGATGGTTGCTCGTCTTGCGGAGTATGAGCACACTTTTAGCCTTGGACTTCAAGTCGATCAAATGTAAGATGTAGGCGTTTGTTAAAATCCCAAAGGCTAACGAAACTACAGAGGGCTTGTTCTTAGCGTCGATCAGAAATTGAACCTCGTCAACAAGAAGACTGATACGCTCCTATCAAGAATAACACTGCCCACTGCTAAAGGAGCTTCCTTCGATGCCCATATGGAAGAACATAATTCAACATGCCTCCCGAACACCCGTACCGAGCTACTACATTACATACAAGGATGGGCGAATGACAACAACGGTAAACCTATATTCTGGCTGAACGGCGCGGCAGGTACAGGAAAGTCTACGATTGCTCGTACGGTTGCCCGGACGTTCGCGGAGCAACGACAACTTGGCGCCAGCTTCTTCTTCAAGAGAGGCGAGGGGGAGTGCGGCAACGCCACGCGATTCTTCACCACAGTTGCAGCACAGCTAGCTTTTCATGTAGCAGAGTTAGGACCAGGAGTCAAGAAGGCGATTGACGCTGATCCGGCCATCTCTGAGAAGGCTCTGAAGGATCAGTTCAAGCAGCTGATCCTCCAGCCGCTCTTAGAAGTAGGGAATCTTCCAGCCATAGTACTTATCATTGTAATCGACGCGTTAGATGAATGTGAGCAAGACAACGATATCCGAGTGATCCTCCAGCTCCTTTCGCGAACGAAAGGTCTCAAACCGGTGTCACTGCGTATCCTTGTAACAAGCCGGCCCGAGCTTCACATCCGCCTTGGATTCAAGCAGATGCCTGATGGCACATACGAAGATCTGATCCTGCACGAGCACAAGGTGGCAAAGGAAACAATCAAGCACAATATACGTATTTATCTCGAGTATGAGCTTGCTAGGACAAGAAAAGATCGTTCTCTTCCCCTAGAGTGGCCTGGAGAGAAGAGCATCCAGAAGCTAGTAAAAATGGCAGTTCCTCTATTCATTTTCGCCGCTACGGTCTGTCGCTTTGTAGGAGAAACTTCTGGAAATCCCCGGAGACGTTTAGAGGACGTCCTTAAGTATAAAACAGAAGATGTAAGCAAGCTTAGTATGACATACCTCCCTATTCTAAAGTCACTCTTTACAACTCAAGATCGAAAGGAGAAAAGGAAGCTCTCAGGAGAGTTCCAAGAGATAGTCGGGAGTATCGTGGTTCTAGAGAATCCTCTCTCTATCAACTCACTCGCGCGCCTCATAGGAAAGGCTAAGGAAGATATTAGCTGTCGACTAGACTCCCTGCACTCTGTTCTAAGCATACCTAACCGCGACAATGTGCCCATACGCCTCCTGCACCTGTCTTTCCGCGAATTCCTCGTCGATACGTCGAATAAGGAAAGCCCATTCTGGGTGGATAAGAGAGAAAGACACGAGAAGCTAGCATCTCACTGCATTAAACTCATGTCTGGCCCAGACAGCTTGCGACAGAATATATGCGGCTTACTCCCTAGGACCTTAAAAAGCAAGGTTGACAAAGGGAGAATTACAAGTTATATTTCACCTGAGTTACAGTATGCTTGCTGTTACTGGGTGTATCATCTTCAACAGAGCCAGCGGCATGTTAGCGATAAGGACACAATAGATACGTTCCTCCGGAAACACTTCCTTTACTGGCTTGAAGTGATGAGCCTAGTTGGAGATACAAGCAAATGTGCTTACTTACTAGAAACGCTTTATACACTAGTTGATGTAGGGACTTTATTACTTTACTATTGCACATTCCTAACATGCAATGTAGTCATCAAAAAGTACTCTTGCCCCATTTCTCCAAGATGCTCAACAATTCATACTACAGTTCCAACACATACTTGAAGTTGCTCCTCTACAGATATATTCCTCAGCTCTTATCTTTGCACCAGAGGCGAGTATAGTACGGAAAGCTTTCATGGACGAAATGCTAGGGAGGGTTAAGGCGCTGTCAAAGAGGGAAGATGACTGGGATACTTGCCGCAGCGTGCTCGAAGGCCATACACACTGCGTCAACGCCGTCGCCTTCTCGCCGGACGGCCAGCTGGTCGCGTCGGCCTCGGACGACAA